AGAGAGAGAGAGAGAGAGAGAGAGAGAGAGAGAGAGAGAGAGAGAGAGATGGAGAACGGGGAATATCGTAAAAAGGCATCGATTGGTGCGCAGAGTGAGATAACTTCGCTTCGCGAAATCGCGGTATGAAGAGAGAGAGAGAGAGAATAGAAATGACGAGTAAAGAGAGTGAGTGGGAGAGGGTGGGAGGAAGGGAGGAACGGACGGAGATAGAAAATTCTGCCTGGTTTTCGAGTGAAATGTGGAGCAACAGCTCCTGTCAGAGAAATCGCCCCCAGGTCGGACGTCAAAATAAAAGATGGAAAAAACGAAGAAAACGGCGAATGGTCTCGGCTATCTCTTTCTTTCTTTCTTTCTTTCGTTTTTTTTTCTCCGTGATGTATAGTAGGCATATGTATGTGTGTGCATGTGTGTGTGTGTGTAGCATTAGACGAAGCCTACGGTTGGTTTTTCCTGCCAAACTATTGGACCGGAGACCGTCGTCTCGTCTCGTAATCTTGCCCCCTTTTTTTTTGTTTCATTTTTTATTTTTCATTAGAACTCTTTAAAAATCGTATTTGACGAAACGATATCCGAATGGTTGCTCTGGGGTCGATGGAACTGGGTGTTTTTTTACCTCCTATTCCACGCATTTCTACAATCATATCAGATTTGTTTCTTTCATCGTTCCCCGTTGCGTGCTTTTGTTACTACCTAACGTCCTTCTGTGATTACATTTGCTAAAAGCTTCCTGCGTATGGTTGGAAAGAGTTGACGATGTAACGGTCTCTGAAATCACGTTTCGAAAGTTTTCCTATGTTCACGTTAAAACGTTTCCAAAGTTTCCTCCCTTTTTTTTTGCCTCCCCTTTTCTTCCCTTATTTTTTCTCATGTTTTTTTGTTTTTGCCCTTTCTTTCTTTTTTTTTTTCAACCCCAGCAGAAGGTAGCATTGAAATTTTTTCTACTGCGACGAAACGAAAAGAAAAATAATTAAAAAAAGGAACAAAAGAAGAGGAAAGAAATAAAAAAAGAAAAGTAACTAAATTATACAATCGTGTTTTATTATTTCAAGATTGGGGAAAGATAAATTTAGGTTGCGTCAGAGTTAAACAGAGGAATCCTTAGAATTTTTGTTTAACTCCTCGGGATATTTTCACTTACATTAGGTTATTCTCGTTTCAAGCGGAAACAT